ATCCATTCTGCCAAGAAAAACCTAAAAATTCCAAAACCTTACAGATTCTGGGGAAAGCGCTATGACAGAAAGAGCAACTAATGACTTACCTAAGGAGCACAATATGACGATTAGTCTGTATGAACATCCGCCAAAATTTTAATTCATATGCACGTACGTGGGAACGGCCAGAACTTTCCTTACAACCTAATATTCAATTGGTCCCAGCGAGGGATAGTTCAAGGTGGTTGGTGGCGAAAACCAGCGATACTGTGCAACTGTACAAATTGGGAGCATTATGCGGGCCAATAAAATTAGGAAACGGAGAAATCTTGACAGGCATGGGTTTCACTACCGGAGTAGTCCGGACTATCACTGAAGTTTTAGAGTTTTGTGGAAGTTCTCAAATTTCGTCGAAATTATATCTAATCAATTCTGGTTTCATGAAATTCTGTTTTTTAATTCATAGGTTCACGTTTCTGTTCTGTTCGAAATTTTGATTTCTTCTGAACTTGGAAGAAATATAGTATGTTTTAAGGTGCTCATTGGCCATGAATCATTCGCATTGGAAAAGCCTCTGCCAAATAACCATCGATTTCGATGGATTTTATTTGTGCGTCCAATTATAGGCTCAAAATTTACGGATAGAACATTTCTAAGCAAGGTTCGTTTTGTCGTTTACTTGTTGTTTCGCTCTTATTTTTCATTAATGGTATAAGATTGTTGCTGTGTCATTACTTCATGAAACCGTTAACTAGTATTTAGGGGGTCTTTTTTGATCCTAACTGATCTAGATCTTCTCTTAGTATTATTTTACTGTTTCACTTGTTCCTTTTCGTTAGCAGCTTTGTGAATATATTTAGATTGAAACGCACTTTGGAATAATATAGGCTAGAATGTTGGCTTACATATTTTCAGCCTTGCTGAGGTTCATGGTATTCTGTTTAGTTGATGCCAAAGTCTCAAGACACAAAGTTACATTGACATCGTTCCTCTACAAGACCTTTGCTATGTTCATGTCGCAACCTTTTTTTGAAAAAAAAATCTCCGAGTTATCATCATTACTATTCAAATTGGTCTCAGAGCTGTTGTCGAGTAACACGCCTGTCAATCAATCGTTCCTCCTCACCCACAATTGGAAAGAGTTCCTGCAAGATCTGCTGACGGGTTTGAAAGGCTGATCCTCTATCCAAACAAAAAGATAGTCACTTTCTCGCTTCCCAAAGAAGAATGCCAGCATACTGGAAAGTGCTGCTGTGCCGCCTTTGAGATTCAGTGAATGTTATACCTCAACCGCTCCTCTAAAGCCAGATAGTAATGACTACCATCTACAGTAGTTGGCCTCAAGAACTCGCTAATGCAAATGAAGAGAGGCGACCGAGACGGATTTCAGTCNCCGCCCTCCATATTCCACTGCTCATGCCTCCTATGACTGAACCCTTTTTAAGTTTCTCGAGCAGTATCTGTCTAACAAGGAAATCGTCATTTTTGATGACCTCAGAAACGCTGTGGCTGACTTTACAAATCACGGTATTCCGCTTACTGTGAGAAGAGAACGGCCGATTTGTCGCTCGTTAGATGCTTGTCATAGATAATGATGGCGAACACATAGATGAATGAATGGGAGTATGAATAAAGTGGTACAAAATTGTCGTCTTACTATCTTGAAACGCATCAACCTAATTGCCCTCTTCCTCCCACCAGACTTTTTCGTCTGCTCGAAAGTGATCCTCCGACTTACGTGTGGGATGATTTTGCTTCTCTCCTTCTCACTCTCAGTCGATAGGCCTGATTCATTTACTGTATGGAAAGGGTCTCAAAAAGTGGTAGAATTTGATAAAAAACAATCAGCAGTTCTCCTTAAGATAGTTTTCTATAAATTCGCCATCCCTTCTCTATCGTCTTCCTGATTTCTGAATTCTCGGCTAAAGGGGTTCTTTTCTAAAGCTTGGTCTATTCTATGGGTAGAAGGGAAGGAAAAGAATCAGTGGTGTCGACATGGATCGGAGCTAGTGGTCGCCACATAGGTGCTCATCTTGGAAAGTTAAAGGTCTACAGTTTTAAATAAGGCTAATCTTGATGTTAAAAACACGCTTTCATGTCGCAAGGTATCGATTGTCATTGTCAGTGTCAATTTTTGAATAATGCATGTGATACGGTGTACAGGTGCAAGATCTAATCGTCATTGATAGTTCCTTCGAAGTATATCTTCAGGTTGAAGTAGAGCTGCATCCTACATTCGCAAACCCCTTCCGAGTGCTCAAAGAGCCGCCATTCGAGTTGGAAGAAACCGGTTATGCATCATTTACGCCAAAACTTATTATCTACTTCAACACACCTCATGCTAAGCCATATCCTGTGCAATATGACATGAATCTCAAACTTGGTACGTGCTTATGGCTTCTTAACTCCTCGTTTTACTCGGAAGTTTGGTAACAGAAGTAATTGATTCAGAGAAACATGCATTCCATCAGCAAGAAATGACATTTGCTATGTCGGATGTAACGCCATCGTTTCTCGAGTTAGTGCGACGCTTTTGTGGATCCACAGATGGGAAGAGGAAGAAGCGTGATGCCGAGACGTCAGGAAATCGCACGAAAAAGTCTAAACAGGACGAAGCAAAGTACGGTTCCTTTCTTAAAGGTCCATCACTTCAGCTGTGACACTGTAGGCGTAGTTTCAGGAGTCACAATGACCATAGTACGAAAGAGGGCAAAGAAAGCGAGAAGAAAAAGGATTATGGACGAGACAGTGAGAAGAGTAAGAAGAAGTCAAAGCGCTCATCCAAGGAAAGTGTGAGTTTCGGTCTACAGTTGACGAATTTTGGCTGGCCTAATGGCTTCAGGTAATTCAAATGTTTACTCACGATAGCGAATCTATCTTGTTCAGGAAGGAACTGATCGTGAAGTGGTTCCTGCTCGTGATGCTTCACCAGAGTCATCACCTATGGACACGTCAACTCTTCGTCTAACAATAACGCCTCAACGTCCCGTCAAGGTGGCACCGAACAAGGCTGAAGATCGTGGTATGGACAGCTCCAGCGATTCGGTATGGCACCCCTTCGAATTGTTTGCTAATGCTCATCAGTTGTGGCTCAATGTGTGGATTATAGTCTTCTATGTATGATTCTTCTCCATCGTCTTCGTCTTCTGTCGGAGCGTCCAGCCCTCCATCCTCTCGAAGAGCACTGCCACTTCCTGAATTGCATCGCCGTTTGACGTCTCTCACAGACGAAAATTTGATATTTAGGTAGGTTTTGCTTCACTTTCCTTTGTCTTCTGCGCTACGTCCTGGCTCAGTACAGAGCTACAGTCCGCGTTCGTTTGTCGTTCGCAGTCTATTGCTTGCATACCGCCATTGATTTCATTTCACTGTGGTTGCTTTCATAGTCCACGATTCGGCCCGCGAGCGAGTGATCGAGCGAGCCAGCGACTGGGAGACTGCTCGTCCGGCGGTATCAATCAAGATTCAATTGTAAACAAGGGGTAAGCGCCGCCCCGCCCCCGGTGAATCACTCGCTCGCCGGCCGAATCGCGG